ACCCCGACCCCGACCCCTCCTGGCGGGCTCTTCAACTGCACGCACGCATACAACAGCAGAGGCAGTCCCTGTCCCTCACTTGCTGCCACCAAGAGCGGTGTCCTTCGAGCTCTTCTGTTGCAGGCCTGCTAGCTGGCCCAAGTGTGACCCGCTTGCTTTCCTTTTAATTTAGCGTCCAGGTTGCTCAGCGTCTGTAACATGATAACCAAAAGTCTCTCTTTTCCTCCTTCTGCCCCTAATGTGAATTCTTTCTCTCCTCCTTTTTTTTTCTCCTCCCCCCCTCTTTGTGACCGTCCTCCGCCAGAGTGGCGCCAACCTGGAGTGTCACTGGTAGAAGTTCCTGATCTGCGTAGAAGACAAAAAAAAAGCTCCACGATTGTCCCCCCCATCTTCAGTTTCTTCACATTTTCCACCACTAAGAATTCACAAGGAGAAAACTTGTGGTTGAAAATAGGAAGATGATGATGGCAGCATCAAAGCACCTTTTGATTTGTGCCAGTTACGGCCTTCCGCCACTCTTGGAAAGACCGTTTCACACCGTGAAAGAAGTGAGAAGCCCAGCGTGTCGGTCAACGACTTCCAAAGCTCCTGGCTACTCCTGACCGGACTGATGGTTGAAACACTTAAGCTTTGGTTTGCCTGAAAACCATTTCCTGGACTTTGAAATCCCTTGATTATTATCTTTTGTTTCTGCCACAAAGTCCAAAGACTGCCACACCTGAACACGGGGGGGCTCACCACTTGGGCCGAGCGTGGTCCAAATTTTCCCCTGCAGTCCAAAGCGACAGTCAGGTGTGCTTTCCGTTTGTGCTCAATCCTTTTTTCACGTGCTTCCTTAGCTCGCCACTTGGCTGATGTTCATGGACCCGACACGCTTTGTTGTCTTACATCGGATTACTGTTGTCAAGAAGAGTTTGGACACCCAACGTTTCGAATGATCTACTTAGATTTGGAGGGTTTTTTTTTCCTTCTTCAAACTCAGCCTTGTGGCCTGATTCATGCATATGCGATTTGTCTTTGTGCAAAAGTCGTGCTGCGCGACTTGGTTTTGGACACACGCGCACAAGGTTGCGCACCGCGTTCCGTCGCCATAACGTTCCAAAGGGGGGGCACGTGCGAGGCCAAGGGAGATCTGGTCGCACCTTTTTTTTTGACACGCGCTCCATCCTGCTTGTGCTGCCACTTGCCTTTTTTTTAATTTTATTTTATGAGTTGTCATGTCAATAAATGGCGACACGTAGTTGACCTCCCCAAAGCCACTTTGAATTGATGCTGTATAGAGGGTTTTTTTTGGGGCGGGGGGGAGATTATCAGGTGTGTTTCAAAGTTAAGCTGCACACCATGCTCGACACTGATGAGTTTTAGAGGAAACCAACATTGCATTGTAACACTACACTGTAGAGAAATTTGCGAATTATTTTATTTTATTTTTTCACCGTTTGCAGTACTTGACACATTCCAAATGCTGTCATCCAAAGAGAAACGTATTTCCAACTTATGTTTTATCCCCCCGCCTTTGTTGTTTTTGCCAGCTAGAAAACGACTCCGAGAATTTGGAGACGGCATACGTGCTTTTCATCGGAGAGTTACTGAAAATGTTTTTAACAAGAAGCATTTTTCAAATTTTTAAGTCGTACTAAAAACGCCCCCCCCCCCCCCGTAACAAGGCACTACTTTTTGCGTCGTATTCGAATGAATGGTTGAGAAAGTTTTTGTTTTGCAGATGTGAAAGTGAATTTTCACTGGCATCATCCTCAGAGGAATTTTTGTTCTTGGCCACGATGCCAACATGGGATGAAGTTGCAATGTTGTTGTTGTTGTTGTTGTTTTTCTGTTTCTGCACATTATTTGTGTTGACGGGAATCTTGGGATGAATGCGCGATTGTATTCAAAGTACGTCGCTCCATTTGGCCGCGCTGGTCAGAAATGGCTCCAAAGACGCCCGCTTGGAGATTTCCAGGTTTCAGGCAGGGAGATAAATGAACGCAAGCTCCCTTTGTTGTCACCTTCCGCAGCCGGCCGATATGACGACGGCAAAGTTTCCGAGTCGCGTTGGGTGCGGGTGCGGAACCCCGACATACGATCAATCGTTGCGCGCCCTCGGGCATTGCGATCGTAATGATTTCCCCGTTGTCTACGTTTGTTGACGGACAAAAGTAAGTTGACATTTTCCAGTGCGTTTTTCACCGATCCCAGGGGTCCTTCTGTATGATCTGTCATTTTGATCGGAAACGTCAATAAAAAGATTTGTTTTAAACCAGGTAGAGCAGCCTTTGCCTTTTTTTTCCTCTCTTTTTTCCGAGGGCGCTGTTGCCAAAACATGAATTGGACCCAATTCCCTTTGTTGCCGGGCAGACATGAAGCGAAAATCCACCTGTGAAGTCCCACCCAACCAAAAGGTTCTGCGGTATTTTTATTGAACGCACCACGTAAGCATTCCTCGTGCGGGTTTGAATTCAGAACCGGTCGACCCTCCTTTGGCGGCGCTAACCTCAACCGAACGTTTCCTGTCGTTGCAGATCGGAGCTGCACAAAGGTCAGGAGGAATTTTGGACCATTGCTCTTTCCAAAACCGTTTCACTTCAGCGGTGTTCTTGGGCTGTTTGGTGTGACCGGCTCTCTTGAGGTCATGCCAGCGCAGCCCTCTCTCTTGGGTTGAGGGCGGGACTCTGACCAGGCCGCTCCACAAGGCGTAGCTTCTTCTGTTGAAGCCACGCCGTTGTTGAATTACTTCTGCGCTTTGGGTCGTTGTCCTGTCGCATCACCCATCTTCTGTTGAGCTTCAATTGGTGAACACATGGCCTTCAGTTCTTGTGCAAAATGTCTCGGTAAACTCGGGAATTCATTTTTCCTTGGATGAAAGCAATCTGTCCAGGCCCTGAAGCAGCGAGCGGCCCCAAACCATGATGCCCCCTCCACCATGCTTGACAGTTGGGATGAAGTTTTGATGTTGGTGTGCTTTGCCTGCCCCCCCCCGCCCCTACACACACACACACACAAATGTTGACATTCATATCATTGTGTGGTACGAGTTCAAGCAGACGGCGTTTGTCTCTTGTTGTGACTTGGATGAAGATCAGAAGACATTTTGTGACCAATTGATGCAGAAATGCGGCTCATTCCAAAGGGCTCACTTCCTTTGGTCAGAAGCTCTTTCTGCAGTCACTGACCAAACTAATCTCTAACGCTCACATTCCACAGGTCGGGATATCAGTGTGCGCATGCGTGCGGCACAGATAAAAACAAAGGAAAGAACCCTGACCTCCACACACACACACACACACACACACACACACACAAGTGCACATCAAGAGAGACGCAACACTGCCGGCGCGTTCAAACAGTCAAGTCATCCGACGACATGGAGCTGGCCACCGTGAATCCGGCCTTTCTGGACGAGGAAGTTGGCAAGAAAGCGGAGGACGTCGGCCCCGCCGAGCCGGAAGCCAAGGCGGCGGCGGCGGACGCCCCCGCCGAGGAGTACGCGCAGATCAAGCCGTACGCCGGCATGCCCAAGGAGGTGCTGCTGCTTTACTCGTCGCGGCCCTGCTACCGAGTCCCGCGGGAGATCCTGTTCTGGCTGATGGTGGCGTGCGCGCTGTCGCTGGTGGCCCTCACCATCAGCCTGGTGGCGCTGTCGCCCCGCTGCCTCGGCTGGTGGCAGGTGTCCCCCGTCTACCAGGTGTACCTCCCTTCCTTCAGGGACTCGGACGGAGACGGGCTTGGAGACCTGAGAGGTGAGTCGGCCGCTCGTCACGTTTCCTTTGATCGAAGCGACCCGCGAAAGAAGCCGCTGGTGCGGGTGGCTGAGGCCTCGTTTGCGCGTGTGCCCCCGGCAGGCGTGCGGGAGAAGCTCGGCCATTTCCAGTACCTGAACATCAAGTCGGTTTGGCTCAGTACTTTCTACCGCTCTTCCACGAAGGACGCGGGCTACGTCGTGGAGGATTTCCGGGCCGTCGACCCGCTTTTTGGCACCATGCAGGACTTTGACGACCTTTTGGCCGAGATGCACAAATTAGGTGACCCCCCCCCCC